TTCCCAAGGGACTGTGGGATTCTTAAACGATTAAATTTACATATTATTTTGTTTTCAGATTTTATTAAGAACTTTTTTATAGACTATTCAAATCTTACGCATACTTTTGGAGGAAGAAATTGCTGGAAGTTTCAAATTTTGGAATTAATATATTGCTCACAATGGATTGCATTATATTGTTTTCTAATTCGTTATTCTCTTGGAATAATTTCACAATTTTTAGATTCAACCAAGATGAATAAATAATACTTTTATTTTCATTTAAAATTTACGCTTAATATAAATTAGGTTATTTTTAATTCTTTCAAAATTAATTTCATATTAAATATTTTAATTTTTTTTGTAATTTTATAAAATAAATTATATACTCGACAATAACATCATTTCTTGAAAATTGTCAACGGTGCTGGAGAGTTGATTGTAGACATTGTTAACACAATTTGTTCTTTTCCATTCACAAGAGTTTCAATTAGTTTTCCTCTCAGGTCGCAAGCGAACGATTCGCCGCGACGTTAAAATGACAAGAAAGTTGACGCACACTAACAAGATGGGGCAATTACGTAGCGTTCGCCTTTTCTTGTGTGCTATGCTAAGTTTGAATGCAATTAATTTAATTCATCGCCTCCCCCCAGCTGGAAAGATAATTAAAATAGCGTTTGTTCTCCCTCTGTAATAATAATTGTGAGACGCAGTATAAGTTGCTTGTGGAGAGCGAAACTCGTACCACACCCAACTCGCAGATAAAATTGAATTTTCTATTTGTGTAAAAAGGTCGTACTTGAGAAGCCATTAAAAGTATATCAATCATAAAACTTCACAGCGTGCAATACTCGCAACAATGCCAGCTCGGCAACATGGAAAAACGGAGAAAGAGCTGCCGGCTGTAAAGCAGTCAACTAGAAAAAGTCATCATCTCTTGCGGTGAATATGCCCGAGAAATTTGAACAAGAAATGATTTTTAATATTTTTCTTCACTCTCTGCTCAAACGCAGAACTTCATTCTGCACTTTCAATCTGAATCGTTTGCAGCAAACAATTTATTTACTTTCAGAAAAAAGGATTTTTACGATTTATTTTTGCCGTTCCGTATAAAGCGGAGTGATTGTTGGAAGTAAATTTTTATTTTAATCCACCCTGAGAATACATTATGGCAGTGCTAGTTGCATATTCTATTGTTATTCTGACTCTAAATATCTTATGAGAAAAACAAATTTTCCGACTTTTCCACCAAAAAAAGAATTTTTAAGGTTTTTTTATTTTTATAAATTAATATAGGTTTGAATTTTTTTCACTAATTTCTTCTATTCAACAATATTTGGTACAAAATTTTGCAAACTTCGACTGAAACTTATAATTTATTTTTTAGGTAAAAATCAATGCATATATAAGGCTTTTTTTAATCAGTGCCGTCATCAATATTAGAAAAAAAATATCCTTTATTTCATTTTCATAGAATTCGAATCCAAAATAACTCATTAAAATACTGCACAACAATGACTTACGTTGCAAATTTTACCAAAGATGCCAAAATCACTGCCTATCAAGAGGTTTCAAATCAATGTAAAAACTACAGATATTACATTTAAACAATACAGTTTGAATTTTTGGCAGTTAAAAATTTTTGTTATTAAAATAGAAAATTCAAACATAGCACATTAACGAATTAAAGGAATTTGTTGGTAATTTTAGGCTCCAGTCTATAGTGGTGATGAATAATGATATGGTTTTAAATATAGGTCCTCAATAGCTCTGATTGCGAGTTAAATTTTTTGATTGCATTGCATGACGTAAGCGCACATAATATTTGAAACAGAAAAATAATTTGCATCTGGTGTTTTCACCTCGAGGACGTCAGATGAGGAAAGGTTTGCAGGCAATAATTATTTGCAAGTAGTGCGCAGGCTAATTTCGTTACGAGTCATTAAGGTCGTGCATGCTGACGTGGAAAGAAAGTGCATCCCGGCAAGTGCATTTCTCAGAGAGTGGCTCTTAACAGGTCATATTTCACACTTAAAAAAAATTTTATGACGGGGAAGGCCAATCGTGGGTTGCGGCGCCGCCGTTGACGATAATCTGCTTGCTTTTAACTTACGGAGAGCCACACGTTTTCATATTTGAAAGCAGAGGCTAGAAATGGATATATGTGAAAAAGTGGGTCGTTTCTTTTTATATTCTTCCCTTAGGAGTAGCGACGCTTTCAATAAGAGAGTAGCTGCCGCCGGGCAAAAAGTGGTCGCTGACAAAAGCAGCCAGACCCAGAAATGTTATTACGATCCGCGGATATGTGCCTGAGAGGAAATTTATTGCCGATTTGTTTACACTCTTTGTGTCTAAGGAAGTGTTTGTCGTCGCAGCAGAAAAAAAAACTGTCGAGAGAGAGAATGCCTGCCTTATTCCTCTTGGCTGGATTTGAAATCAGCAAAATCGCAGCTCCCACGCACAAGTATAAATTTCGCTTATTTGGAAAATATTTCCACACAATTCCCCATTTTTTATAATAACCATTTTTCCAGTTCAGCAATTCTTATGTCAGCTATACAGGACCCTTTTTTTATCCGAATATTATATACAAATTTTCATAAATAAAATATATCAATCAAAAATTTATATTCCAGACTCATACCATGGAATGCACCAAATAATGGATCTTTTATTAGCTTTTTTGCGTCAGGAAAGGAATCCTATCATTATTTTCCAGTCTACTCCTTGGCACAGAATGTAACTTTGAACTAAAAATTTTGATTATTTTCAATATTGGAATAAAATAAAAGAAATTCTGAGCGTTGGGGATAGTGTAGTTTTTTTTTACATTGGGTTCATGATTATGTTTGGACAGAATAAGGGGGTTGCTAAATTTGTCGTAGAACTTTTTTTATTCATCCAAAATCTAAAAATGTTGATGAAAATTTAAGATTTAAGAACCTTAAATTTTCAACTGATTATTTTGGAAAATCTGCACATTTTCATTTTGCTAGCGTACAAAATATTGTGTTGCCTCTGCCAAGCAAGCAATCAAATTGTTTCACAAAAATGTGCAAAAATAAAAAAATTGTCAGCTCTTAAACATTCAACTTGTTATTGCAAGAATTTAAAGTTAGAAATATTGCTAAAAAATAGAAGAATGATATTTTAACATTCCTGATATAGCTTTTCTCTTCATGAAATGAAAGTAAAAAAAATGTAGAAACGTCCTCCATGAAAGGAATTCAAATTCTCTTCAGAGCTAGCCTAATTCATAATTGAACAGTTCCTGCTGGTGGTCTCGTGCTTTAATTCTCTCTCCGGAAACGAATTCGAGTGTTAAATCGGATTAAAAGCAGCCAACAATAAATTCGGATAGGACGCTGGGTCGCAGCTGAACGGCAACAAAGAAGATATTTTCGGGGCTCCAACGCATAAATTTATGGATTTTTGGTATAAACTCGTAGGCGCGCGTAGGTGTTTGGGCTTCCGTGTTTTGTTGAGGGTGTACATATAATTTCGAGAGCAGCCAGAGAGACGAATAATGGCGGAATATAATGGGGAAGGCAGAGTTTCTGCATAAGTTGCTGCAGTGAAAGGAGGAAGAATTAATTTTCGTTTCACGCCTGTCCTCTTCCCGTTTCCTTTTGTGCGCTACTTTTCAATTACGTGTGCCTGCTTTTCGCCCGCGCCAAGTGTGAGTGTGTGTTCGTCGCGCGCGGATAAGCAAAGCGCCAATTTTCGACATACCCTGGGAATTCGAGCAAGTTTCCCATTTCTTCGCAGCTCCAATTTCGCGAGTTTCTTCAATTTCACTCAAATTTATTCAAAAATTTGAAATTTTTGTTTCCCAGCAGAAGCGAGTTTTTAGTTCTGAAGAACTTCTTTCAACTTACATAATTTCTAGTTTTATGTTTTTCTCTGTATTCCGATCTGTATATAAATTTAATTTAAACAATGGCTTTTCTTATTACTGTTGTTTAGCTGTCCAATTGTTTAAAATCAATACAATGAAATTAACTAAATCAATGATTACGAAACAATTGAAGAAGGAATTATTGGACAAAACAACACTACCACTGGCAACGATTTCCACCGCAGTAAGCATCAGTTGACTTAAAATTAGTTTTTGTTCTTTTCACTAAAATCACAAACTGCGACCGTGGGACCTCAGGTACTCTTTGCAGAGGGCGGTTAATTTGCGTAGCAAAAAAGATGGCACGACTTTTAACTATAAAATAAAATTTCATCAATATTGATGAGGAATGGAAAGCAAATTTCTTCTCCAACTTTCCTTCCTGAGAATTGACGAGCAGATCTCTATTTATTATTCTAGTATAATAAAACGTAAAAAAATTTGACGAATTGATTTCAACAACTGCTTCTCCGTTTATTTTACCAATGTTGGTTTCTCTAATTGCCTTGCCTTCCACGATTATCTAAACTTTTTATTTACTTTTTCTATTGGAAATCAATTAAAAGCATATCGCAGGGGAGCATAATTAGTAAATAAATTGAAAAAATACTTAACGCACTTCTGAACACAAAAAAAGGAGAAAAGAAGAGCAAAAAATAACTAAGAAGATTAATAAAATTTGAATGAAAATTAAATTTAATATGAAAGAGACGCAAAGAAAGGAATAAACTTAATAATGTACAAGAATGCAATAAAATTAGAAAAAATCTAATTACCTGAAATCTTAAGATTAAAGTAATGAAAGTAAAATAATAATTTTATGTTATGAAACGTTAATTTCTTGTAAATGATATTTATTTTGATATATTAATTGATAAATTATTACAAAAAAAATCAGCGATCAAATAAATTTATTTTAATTTGGAATAATAAAATTTTGAGGACAAGAAATTACAGAAATACATAATCACGATCCATCATGGTTACTAAACTGTCTATTAATTAAATCAATAATTTAATTTTTAAATGAAAAATTAATTACTGTCGTAATTTCTTATTTCTTTTTTAAATAGAGTAAGATTTTGTATAGAAGCATAGAAAGCACGGCTGGAGTGACAAAGAGAAGTGGAGGGAATTCGATGCGCGACCTTTGGCACTCTCCAGTGACGTCATCACGCCTATAAATAGGCCGACAATTGCAGCATTTTGGATATTGTGTCAGCAACGCTCTGCGAAATCACACGCACCTTCAATCAATCGTCAATTGCGTTGCAAGCAACCTGTAAGTAAATTTACGCCACTTTTTTACCTTACTTTTTTAATAATTACTTTCATGCCTTTTTTGGATTAATTTGCAATTCAAAACCACAGTTCATGTTATTTCTTCAGGTGAAATTTTTTTAATAAATTCGATTCTTAATTTGATTGCAGCTGAAATCATGTCTCTCCTTCCGTACAACTTCGGAGACTTCTCTGCTGCCCTGCCCCGACCCTGGGGAATCAACCCCGATGATTTCTTCCCCCCAGCCATGTACCCTGGCTTTGCCCCATCCATGGCCCTGCCTGGCTACGTTCGTCCTTGGCGCTTCACCAGTGGCCCTGATAGCGGCTTCTCCAAAATCATCAACGACAAGGAAAAGTTTGAGGTAATTTATTAATTTAATTTTAATTTAAATATTTTTATTATCATGTAATCTTCAACTCTAATTTTGTTTATTTTTTAATAACTAATTTGATACTTCCGGACCAAAATTTATATGTAAATATTTTTTTCTTAATTTTTCTGCTAATTTTTGATTGCAGGTCACCTTGGACGTGAAGCTGTACAAGCCAGAGGAAATCACGGTGAAGAATGCAGAAAATGTCATCACCGTGGAGGGCAAGCATGAGGAGAAAGAGGATGAGCATGGTTTTGTCTCCAGACACTTCAAGCGCCGCTACGTGCTGCCCGAGAATGTGGAGATTGCCAAGTGCAAGGTGCAGCTTTCCTCTGATGGCGTTCTCACCTTCAGCATTCCCAAGAAGGTGAAATATCTCAATTTTATCTTAACAAATAATCTTTAAATTGTGCATTTATAATTTTTAAATTAATTATTGCAATATTTTAATAGTTTTTAACTATTTTTTAATATGCAAACTGACTTTTTGTGTAGCACATTTAGAAATTTTAGGTCTTGCCAAAATATTTATAATAAATTGGAAATAATTTTTGTGTTTTCAGGCCTTGCCCGATCCCAGCAAAAGCGGCCGCGTCCTTCCGATCACCAAGACTGGGGTGCCTTCCGTGAAAGCTGCTGAGACCAAAAAGTAGGAGTTTCCGCACTTCCAACAACCCTTGCTCAAACTAATCAGGTGTAAAATTGGAGAATATAATTGGTTTGCGGCCCAATTATTCAAATGTTCATCCATCGAGTCTTGCAATGTACTTCCAATTTTTATTATTGAAAATCAAGCCGTCAGGTTTATTGTGAGGCTCATTTCTGCCTCCAACTTTGTAGTAATTAAAAACAAAATTTAATCATAATTTCCTTGTGCGCAAAATAAAATTCTATGCATTTGCTTTTTCTTGATGGCTGAGTGAAAACTTTGTAATGCAGAGAATTGTAAGAAATAAAAATTATTTTGTTTATTGAAACCTCCTTGTTTAACTTCCTGATTATGATAATTAAAACTGATTAAAATATAATTACGTAAGTTAAAAATAATTTTTTGAACAAAAAGCACGCTGCTGCACAATTGCTATTATTTAATGTCAGTGGATCTTTTTCTCTGTAGGGATGATAGAAAGGAAAGTCAATAATAATTCGGCCCAGAGTTGGAATATATGGTGAAAACTTTATTGTTAATTATTTCATTAACCATTAAATGACAAAAACATGTCGATTCTGGGGCGTGAAATTAAATAATTATGAAAAAAAAAAGGTAGAATAAACATCTTCCCTCTTTGCCATTTAAAAATAAAAATTAGTACCCACCACTAAAATAATACATTTTTTTATAAATTACAAATTATAAAAAGTTTGATTTTTCATTTTGCTAAAATATGTAATTTATTTTTTTAATTCTGCCTTCTCAATTAGTGTACATTTTCCAGAGCTTTTTTGACCATTAATATTAATTATTAACTTTTTTGAATTACTGCTTAATCTCTGCTCTGTCCGTCTCTGTCAATTAAAATTTATTTATATTTCAAAATTTAATAAATTAATATTAATATTAATAGATTTAATCTATTAGTATTAATAACATGTATAATGGATTTATAAAGATATAAATTTTCATTAGTAAATAAATGAAAATATATTGTGCAAGCAACAAGTAAAAATTAATGCTGCTAATATTGGTGATACTTTTACAATTAAAATAATTATGTTTCAATTTTAATAAAATATTGGCATTCACAAGTTTATTATTAATTATAAAATGGTTTTAGAAGAGCTACAATACAAGATTCATTTCTTGCAACGCACAAAAGCGTGATGGCAAAAAAATATTATGTTGCTCTCATTCTTACACAGTTAGCAAATATCCCAGGAATTTACTAAAAGCAATGTTGGGATTGCTAAGCATGCACACGCTGCCAGTCGTGCAAAAGATAAATTGTTAGAATCTTTGCGCAAAGATTCCCAACATTTTTCGCCGCCAAATTGATGAAATGCTTTCTTCGATGAAAATTCGTGGGATTTAACGCAGTAATTCGGTGGAATCATGAGTAATCTTCAAATGTGCAAACAAAAAACAATTTTTATGGCATAAAAACGATCAAAATTTATAATTATTATTCATTTTTATTAACCAACTCCGCTGAATTTTAATATTTTTACAACACGCTATACAAATTGTGAAATCAATACAATTAAATTATAAAAACAGTGCATAATTGAGGGCGACAAAAATGTATATTTACTTTATTTATAGTAATATGAAATGAAATTAAGAAAGGGACGTTATTTTATCTTTTACTAAATTTCAAATCAGCTTTTTTCATTTTCATTCAAAGTATACATGTGGGAACGTTTATTTAAACTTTCTGTTTTTTTTTACTAACTATTTTTTGCGTTGTCTTTCGATTGGTAGAGTAAAACAAACAATTGTTCCACATCATTTGTTATTCTAAAAACCTCTGATGATGATATGACGCTATTGGGAGTTCAAATTTTCGTATAAGTTGTTTTGTCTTGATAATTTTATTTTATTTTTATAACAAGCAGAAAGCAATCACACAGTGAGACACAAAAAACTAAAATAATATGCTGCGCAATTTCGGTACAACACAGCATAGTTATTTTCTAGAATTCTTCTTTTTGGATTTTTCAAATTTTTTTAAATTTTTTTTATTCGTTTTTTTTTTTAAATTTTTTAAAGCATTTTAAAGTTAAGAGCACAATATTAAGATACAAAAAATAATAATTAAATAAATATAAAATTAATTCATATTTTAGATTATAATAAACAATGTTCTGATAAAAATATTTGCACTTTTAAGCCGTGGCCATGCCGTGGCCATGCCCCGGCCATGCTATTGCTATTTGGTTGGAAAGTCGACATAAGCCGACTTTTTCAATTAATAAATCAACTAAAATAGTTGACGATTTAAAGGTTCAAAACCGACTTTTTTGCTCATCTGTAAATTATTCACATTTCCTCAAAACGCAGAACTGAGTAGTCCTTCAAAGTTCAAAGCCAATGCTCACTGATTCTTTTATTTTAGAATGTATAATGCGTTTTGATATTTCAATTTTTATTTATTTTTATTACATGTTTGAAATATTTTGTTGGGATATATTTTGCAATATTTGTATGATCTTCATTTTATCAATATTTACATTATTCGCATTTAAATATAATTCATAATATGTATATGAATATAAATGGTAATTTGAATTAAATTCTACCACAAAAATAATTATAAAAATGTTCACATAATAATAAAAAAAGTCTTTTAAAAATGTTCACATCGTTCACATGAATTTCCCAGTGTGACTTTTCGCGCGCAAATGAAGCAAAATTGTCACGTGGCGGCTGCGCACACCAATGGCGAGGGCGCTTCTCCGATGTGGCAACAAAAACACAAAACAACAAGAAGATGAAAGATGGCAGACGAAAGCGAGTGCGACACAGAGGCCGCGGAAAATGGGCTCATCTTTGAGTCAAAACGGTTCGCGAACGGCCGAAGACGCGAGACGAACCTTCTGCACTGCCTCGCCAATCGACAGGTGAGCAAATCCCAGCGACATCCACTTTTGACGCCGCCAAAATCCAACTCCTCCACGCACTCCTCGCATGACACGTTTGATTTTCCCATTTTCCGTGTCAACCCAAGCTTGTCGCGATTCACCCCTGACCCGATTCGTTTGCAGGTCTACGGCAGTCACGTGTCCAGCCACCGAGCCTCCCTATCTTCCGTCAACGCAAAGCCTTTGCCCGACTCGTATTTCCAATTCCAGCTCGAGGACATTTTCCCAGCCTCTGCCTTGCTCAAAGGGTAGGTTCTTGTTTAATTTACATATTTCTATAATTAATTTTAATTCAAATTCCTCTCCAGCCACATCGTCCTGGGCTTCTCGAGATGCGGACAGTTCCTCTTGACGTACACCATCAACTCGTACGAGTCTTCGGGCCTCAACTTCACCTACAACTACACCCTGCACTGGTGGGTGTGCATTCCGAGAAGCACGGCCAGAAGGGTGGCCGAGGTCACGCTCTTCAAGAACCAGGGCGTCGAGGAGAATCTGTTCATTTCTCTGTGCCAGTGGCCCAACGACAACAGCAAGATGCTCATCTACGGAACTTCGTATGTTGAAATTTATTTAACAATGAGATAATAGATTAAAATCTTTAATTTTTTTATTTATTGTTATTTAGATTTACAATATTAAATTAACTATACATTTAAATATTACTTATCCAAAAAAAAGTAGAGAAAAGACTTAAAATTAGTGATACAAATTTGTTCCATCTTTATTATAATAATTATAATTGAAGATTTAAAATGAATACTTGATTGATTAAATCTTTTGCAGAGACCCTTATAACTCGATTACCACACAAACAAAGCCTTTTTATGTGACTGTGACCATGGTTCCTTCTTTACACAACTGCAACGAATGTCAAAGGGTAGCAGCAACTTTTGACGTTGAAGGTGAAATTAATAGTTCATGTATTTTGGAAAAGGGGTGATTTTAAAATTATCAACTTGGCTCTAAATATGTTCTGAAGTTGCTTTCCTAACTTGTTTTCAGATAAATTAAAATGAAAAATTTGTTATACATAGTTTCATTTTATTTTTAATAATGGTAAAATGAATGTTATAAGTTTAATTTTTTAACTAATTTAAATCTAGAAAAATCAAAAATAAAATTCAGCTGCAATTCATGAGATGTATACAGAGAAATCCCAAGAATTATTTTCAATAAATTTGAATATTTTCTAATAAAATGTTATTATTCACAGATTTGGCTGCAAACTGGGACAGTTGTGTGCGGTTCAGTTGTCTCCGACATGGTGCCACCGTACACACCTCATGTGACATTGTTGCGCCGTACCCAACCTTCGAGCCTTCCATCTGCATGAAGCTGGACGGCACCGTCGTCATCAACACCGGAAACTTTCTGCACGTGCTCACTGTCGACCTGGAGAACTCGAGGGGGTGCAAGGAGGAGCCCGAGGGGAGTGTGGCCGTGAGTCGCCTGTTGGCCTCCAGTCAGGACGACCTCGAGCTGACCTCTGCCCAGGTCAAGCAGTTCCCCTTTTTGCTGCTCAAGAGTCCTGCGTACGGCAGCAGTGAGGAAGGAGAGGAATCGGAGAGCTGGAGGAGAAGACATTTGGAGTCTGAAAGTGAAGATTCCCACCTCAGTTCGGACCTTTCTTGCTCTAAACCGCAGATGTGGTCAAATCAGGCAAGTTCATACCACAATTAGTTTAAAATTTGTATTCAATTCAGTGATCATAAGTTAAAATTCTAAAAAGTAAACAAAGGAATTATCTAAAAAAATAAATAAAAATAAAATAAATAAATAATTTTTAAAATTTTTAAATTTAATTCACTTTTGCAGACCTTTCATTTAATTTGATTTGTAAACAAAAGATTCTAAATTAATTTTTGGATAAAGAAATTGTTAATAATTTAATTCACGATATTTTTAATTAGTGTATAAATCAATAAAAAATAAATTTAATTATTAAATTAAATAGAGTTAAAAGTTAAAATGGTTTAATGATTGTTTACAGTTCAATAAGAAGAAACACTATTATTAATAAGGTTCAAAATCAAATATTTAACAACTATAAAAAGAAATGATAAAAATTTTATGTTTGATTTATTTAAAAGCAAACTTTTTATCTTTTATATTATATTGAATATATATTACTTATTTTGTTATCACATGTGACAATTTTTAAAATCTATTTAAATCCAGCTTCCGGACTCGATCAAATTCAACAAACCGCCACCAAACCAGCGCAGCAAACAGCAGCTGGAGGAGGCGGAAAAGGCCTACGAGTTCATCGAGGAAAACCCGCCCGAGATCAAACTGAGTGTTTACCGGATGCGCCGGTTGGCGGACAAGAAGTACGAGTTCTGCGCGGACGAGGAGGGCTCGGAGAACATCACTCCGTACCGCCAAGCCAAGCTGGATTCACCAAGCAAGACTGATGGTAGAAGTAGGAGTCTGTTGCCCCAGCAGGCCACAATGCAGGAGCTGTACATTTACACGTCGCCGCCTTTCTCCCCTGCAGACAGCGACGACAGCAGCAAAGTGCTGCGGCCTCTCAACTCCAATTTGCCCTTTTTTGATAACAAGAACAGTCCAAAGTCGTGTGTGATGGCCGAGCTTGCCTCGCCGGGTAACAACCGGAGCAGGAAAGAAACCTTGTGTGGTCCAGTCATCGAAAAGAAACCCGTTAGTATCAAAATCTACAAACAAAAATGTTGAATTATTTTCATTCAAATTTTTAGTTCAAGTATTTGGTGAAGCTCCAGCGGCGGTACTTTGAAATAGATGACGAAATGATCTCAGTTATCACAGACATTGAAGGTATGCCAATTATTTTGAAAAACTGGAGATTTTAATTACTCCAAACTGTTTCAGACGACGACATGAGTAGTTTGACAGGGTACCACTCGGCCTTGCCTTTGGAAGTTCACGGCTCAGGTTACGCTCAAATGCAAATGGTCTCAAATTCGAAGGCAGAAAAATTGGTCAGCATCTTTGAATCTCGATTGGTTTCTCATTTTAATCCTTTTTTTCTACAGAAATTCTCTTGTGTCCTTGTGAAGCAATGCAGCTTTGATATTGAACAGTTTTGCCATGAGATAGGTCAGGTTTTGTGTAGTGAAGCAGGAATGCAGTATTGGTTCTGCAGCGACTACGACGTAGAAATTGTTGATGTGAGTAATTCAAACAATAGGGATAAAATTTTAATCTTCAATTGATTGCTGCAGATGTGCCCCAGCTCAGGAGACTTGATAGTCATTGCCTTTATCCTGTTGCAAGCGAGTAAAAAGTGTGCAAAAAATGCAAGGCAAGTTTGTAATTTTAATTGTTGAAATAGTATAAAATAAATTATATATTTAATTAAATTATTTATGCTTTCAAAATTGATAAAATTTTATGATAAATTTATTAAAAAAGAATTTTCAATGAAATCTTAAATTTAATTAAAATTATTCGATTAAAACTAATTAAATTTGTAATTAGGAGTGCCAGCCTTAATAGACGGACATTTCAAGCGAGTTTCCTTTTCCTGTGGAACATTCAGACTGGACGTTACAATGTAACAAGAACCTCAACACTAAAAGAAGCAGATACCCTTGTCGGAGTTCAGTGGCACCCAGCCAGAATGGAGAGAGATTCGCTGAGGATCTCTTCTCCGCCCCTCATGGCCCACCCGAGGATCAGAGAACTGACCAACATCAGTGTTCTTCAAGGTAATTAGAGACCTTTTAATAAATTTTGTAATTTTAAATGAGTACAACAGGAGAATCACTACCAACTCTTTTGGACACGGAGAACCACATGGCCATCAGACTGCATGAATAGGGAGAGAGAAAGACCGCATTGAATTAAGGGTTAATTGCATTTTGCCTGCAGTCCACTGGTTGTAGAAACTTGGATAGCGCTCTGTATTTATTACCCATTCCAAGAACAACAATAATCAATGCTCATCAAATTGCCTACTGCATAAGACTTCATCGTGTTTAACTTAATTTTATTATTAAATACCATCTTGTTGTGATTTTTCTGAAATGTCAGATGATTTTAATTTGTGACTCGCACTTGTTTTCTGTGACTGCTGAACCACCGTTTCAATGATTTACTATTGCTTTGGCCACTTTGGAACAGACCTGAAGAGCTTTTCTGTTCTGGCTTCCGACTGGTCAAAGTTATAAGTGTTACTTTTCTTGCCAACTGAAGTCTTACTTCTGAATTATTTATTTTTCGGTCTCTTCCAATTGTTTAGCTCAATATTTTGTGCTACGTTTTATGCACTGAATTGAATCTTTAAATTTGCTGATTGACTGTGTGAAAAGTGTAATTTTCCGGATAAAGCTAAAGTTATTTTGAATGCTAGCTCACTTGTAGCATATAAACGCTAATTCTGAATAATTAGTTTAAGTGAATTTCAAAGATCTATTATACCTTCAACTGTGTTACTTTGTGCTTATGATTGCAATAATTGAAAGTACTGAAAAGAATGAATATATTGCGTGCTATTGATAACACACACTGTACTGAGTGAATTATTTTTATGTAACCAGAAAAATTTGGCAATAAAAAAAACGAATGAGATATACATATATATAATCCATGTCTTATTTCACATTGATCGATCAATTTATTAACTTACAAAGGCTTACATTATAAAGAGATCTAAATTCATTGTAATTAGCCACACTACACTACCACCTCGCTCTCATTTCACATTGTCACACAGAACGTCTAAATTATGTAAAGGTCATTTGTGTGTACTTGCAAATTTGTGGGTTGCGGGTACATACATGCGTGCTGCTATTCATATATTTAACATACAAACATGACCTGGCTTGGAAAACTGCTACTACTTGTTGCAAACACTGCCTGTAAATCATTGGCCATTTATTTGCCGTGACTTTGTTAGAGAGAAATAAAAACTATTTTCATCGTTGTCAGGGACTAAAATTATAAAATGCAGAATTTTTTATTTTAAGAATCAATATAAATTATTCAGATTATGAGAATTTATATTTTTTTCCACAGGTTTTAATATGAATTTTTCATACTTACAATTTCACAAAAGTTTTTTTTTTTCCAAAACTCTGATCATTCATTCTACATTCGCAAGTTTCGTGGAAGCTTCACAATCTATTGCGTTGTCAGAGCGATATCGAGTGCGTGACAAAGGAGGCCTTTTCCGTATTAGAATATTAATCCACCACTCTCAGGTCACTTTGTATCGAACGCTTGGTTTTATGAGCCGGCGGTGTTTAATTGGGAGAGGGTCAAGGCCGTCCGTGGCATTGCAAGGGGCGCGCCGAGAGGGATTAGGGAAACTGTTGAAACTGCTCTTTGTTTGATTCGCTTGGTGGGTAAGGAGGTAGGCAACTGGCAAGTCGCCACTGTTGTACGGACTGCATAGCTTGGGATTCGCAGGCAACTCTCCACGGGGACTGATTGTGAGGAGCCAGCCGACTTAACCCCTGTATTCCCCGAGGGATAACCAAACTTTGGCTTACGATTAGGAGAAGCAGATAGATGTGTTTTATTCAATGAAATCCACCTTTTTTTAAACTACATAATAAGTTGTATTTATTTAAAATCATCTTTTTAAGAAGTGGATGAATTAATTTTTGTTATTTTTTTCACCAGATGCTTGCTTCTAAATGATTATAAAATTTTTACAATTTTTTAACAGTCAAAGAGAGACGAATCAAATTGTTTGCTTTTCTTTTTATGTAAAATAATAATAAAAAATGTTAAAAAGAAACAACAAGCACTAGATATGAAAACATGGTGTCATAAAAAGATATACATTTCGTTCATTAAAATTGGTTGTAAACTTTGTACAAAATAAAAGAGTAACTCTGGCAAGTCCTGTTATTGTTCTCGAAAAAATTGTTGGTGTTGATATATATGTCGCGTTGAAATAAATAATTTGAAAAAGTGTCCGAAATGCGACGAGTGTCGTTGTGTGAGGTAGGCGCGATTAATCACCGGACGCCGCCGATCTCCCCTGGGAACGACGAGCCTCTGGTTGTTACTCACAGTGCGCCGAAAAAGGAGCGCGTCGCTGCGAATTTTGCATGCTACAGGCGAGATCAATAAACAGGATAGGCAAGAGCGAGAGAGTCGCGCATGATAGCGCCCCTTTTTCCAGCTGCGCCCACCGACAGCGCGCGCGATCTGCCTGATTTCAGGTGCTCGGCCTACGTGCCTTGCTCTGCGCAAACCGCACCAACCTATAATCGCGCCACTGTGCATTCGCTCCACCACGCTCTCTGCCCAAATTCCAACACCCAAATATACACTTCCTATACAAATACAAATTGTTATATATGCAGAAAAGTAAACTTCAAATATGAAATTGATACATACCTTTATTATGATAAAATAGCAATGTATCACATTCCTGTATTTAAATATTCATTGTTTTTTAATTATAACACACTTTTAATTTTGAGGTTTCTTTATTTTTATTTAAAATCAAAAGAAAACCTGCAGCATTTTTTTCAACTAGCGTGCATTTCCATTGCTTTTAAGCAACAGGAGAAAAATTGAACCTTTTTAATTAAAACAAAACATAATATTTAATATGAAGCAAATTTGAATAAATTTGATAAAATGATATAATTGATCGCACAAAACTTGTAAAAGCTTTTTTTTATAAGATTTAAAATTTATTTATTTATTAAATATCTCATTGATGGAAGATAAAAAATTTTGTATTCATCACTTTTTATAAATAATTCTCTATATAGCAGGTAATTTTTTTATAATCAAAATAAGTCATGAAATAGATTTTACACCCAAGGTTATTTTCTAAATATTTCAAGCGTAAAACTTTCAAATCGATGCAAGCAATCGCATTGATTGCTATAAATGGAAGTTTGCGGCTGGCATGTTAAATTCTGCACACTGAGAGAGTCCGCACGAGGAAATTAAGGCAGCTGATCAGTGAACTGGTGCACTGGGTCCGTTGTGTTTTCCACAGGTAATCGATATCGCGCGCAGCGTTACATTTTCTTTTTGCAGCCGCGCTTGTTTGTGTTTTTTGCTCGACGCGCGCGCGGCCATTAATGCGCCTTGGCTGCAAAAGGCGGGCCAATTTTTCATTTTCCATCTCCACTTTGACGAGACGTGCAGAAAAAGAGCCGCAAAAATTCTCACTTGACGGTCGACGCCTTTTTGCGACGCTACAGAGTGGATATTTTGACGCGTCCGAACACAAGTAGCGCGATGCGGGCCGGCTTTCATTACCAACACAGAAACAGAAGCGAAATAAAAGGGGAAAATGTTTCAAAGGGAATATCAGCTCGATATTTTCAGTTCGGGGAAAAAAGACAAAATAACTCGTAAAACGCTGGCAATAATAATGCAAACCTGTTTCAAATTTCAAAGTTAGTCACAAATAAATACTGAAAAGAAGAGTTATTTTTTTCTGAAGGTTGATGAAACTTGATTGGAGTCGTTGGAATAAATATGAACTAAATATGCTTCTTTAAAGAATAAGCACCCCTTTGAAGTCGTGGTGCATCAAAGGTTTCACCTGCTTTTCCAGACAAATGAATTTGAACCTCAAGGAAAGAGTCATAATTAAACTAAATTTGATTAACAATTCCGGATATTGAATATTAAGGAGGCGTTTTTTTTTCGACTTCAATCAAAATTCATCCACTTTTATGGCGAGGAATATTTAAAAAAAAAAAAATGAATTACCGGTTTTGAAAAAAAATATTCTGGAATTCATATTCCAATTTGGAAAATTGCGCGTTGTTACACGAAATAACAGCGTGTTCAATTTGGCAGATTGGTGGCAGCATCTGCTGACGTTGAGGGTAAATACGAAAATTGCTGACGCGAAACTTTGGGTATATCCAGCGTCCCAGCGTTTTTCACGTTGTGAAAGTTACACTCTTGCCGGCGTAGATGGAAAAGTTGAAAGGGCGCAGAATTAGAAAAAGCCATTTACGCACCCTCACGGGACACTAAGAAGGAAATCGGCCAGCAAAGCGTGCCAAAGTTGCCCCTCGCAACTTTTAATGATCTGCATGTGCGAATTCCCCGACGGTCTCACAGAGCTCGTCGACCATTGAAGAGAACATTATGTCTGCAAAGAATATAGTTGCTGGAGAAAATTGCTTTTCTCTCAGTGTGTCTGCAAAATTAGGGAAAGAATTTTATGAAAATATTTCATCATTGCGTGATGTAAAAATTATATATATTATTACTTTTTTTAGTATTTTATTTTTATTTTTTTAAAGTATTTTAATTAAGTAGCTATTTTTTTTAATTTAATCCTTTGTTTCAGTTATTTGAGAATCAATTTTGTGAGTTTAAATATTATTAATATTAAAGTTTCTTACATTAAAATTCCAAAATAAATGTAAACATCTTAATCTTGAGAAGCTGAAGATAGTTAATTTTTATATGAATAAGAAAGTTTTTGTATTCGAATTCAAACTGTAGTTTTAAAATTTTGCTTGCATTAAGGCTGAATTGTTGTGTATGTATAATATGTTGTTGTTGTGATGTCGGCAGTTGGCAGGGATCGCCACTATGCTATTTAAGATTTTAGTTAAATTTTTAATTCTAAAATTTTGTTGAATCATTGTTTAGTAGTTTTTATTAAAGGAAATTACAAAAATTTAGAATTTAGAAAAATCAAAACCAGGCGAACCTCGTTGCAAAGAAAAAATGAAAAAATAAAGGACACGACAAAACCATAGGTTTTTAAAGTACCAGCAGACCGCAGGTCCCCTTTGGGATCAGTTTTCCTTTATTTTTTTCATTTTTTCTTTGCAACGAGGTTCGCCGGTTTCAATTTTTCATGAAATCCACCTCAAGTGTTACCATTCAACTCAGAATTATTGTCTTAAATCAGAAAAATTAATTTTATGGAATTATTTTCACAGATGCAAGTTTTTATCTTTATTAACAAAATAATTTTTCAGATCAGACGGTGAAATGCAAAGGCCCGTTGCGGAGGGGGCCTCGGCGGTAGTGCGCGGAACGAGGGGAACGACTGGAGGCGGAAGACTCCGAGCGAGCTGTTCGGCGCGTTCCCCTGTCGCGGTCGGTCGGTCGGCGATCGCGGCATTAGTTGCTCCGGGAGTCGGTGCGACTTCGCAGCTCCCTCGGTAGGCCGCCGCTGGTGCCCCATGTGACAGCTGCTCTCGGTGGACGTACCTGCTGCTGTCCGGTGCTGTGTCATGGGCTGAGACCGTCCGGTCCGAGAGTTCGCGCAGAGATCGAGGCGATTTTAGTGGGTAGGAAGGACGAAGAGGGCAGCAGAGGCCGCGATCGACAAAATACTGCCGCGCGCAGCCCGTCGGTTCGCGCCGAGGTCCTCCGCAGCGGCCAAGACGTCACCCCCCGAGTGCGATGACGAGTTCGACGAAGACCTGCACGACGAGGACAACGAGTGTCCGTCGCCGTGTCTGAGGCGGCTGCTGCTGTGCTGCTGCCCGCGTCCGCCGCCGCCACCCCGCCACCCCAAACCCCGCGGCTGCTGCTGGTACGCGTGCTGTGAGCGGCCGTCGCGCCGCCTCCGCTACCGCCCCCCGCCGGCCGCCTCCCCCTGCCACCCTGCCGCCGCCGCCTCCGCCGCAGTCGATGACCCCG